CAGGAAGTAGATGAACTCGATTTGTAAGTAAATGAAAAACAAGTTTGTTTAACTGGTGAATGTGATATTATTTAATATCAGCATGCAGACTTGCATGTTGATGTGATTTTTAGTGACAGGGGGGTAAAGGTCCACGTTAACTCCAATGCATGCGCATGGGGAGTTACTTCACCTCAGCATGCCGGGTCTGTGCACAGGAGGAAATAAAAATGCTGAGAGACAGGTAGGAACATTTTTGGCAGAGAGAGACTTAAACAGTCTCTTCTGCTAAATTTAAAAAAAAAAAAAATACCACCTGTCAGCAATTTGTTTTTAAACACTTCCACTTCAATGACCCAGTCTGGCTAAAAACCATTGATTTGTGCAGCATTTGTCCACAGCCAGCTTTAGGTCAGGTTTTAATAAATGAGCTCCAAAGGCAATACTTAAAGCATATAATAGAAATGATCTGTCCATTGTACCTGCTAGTGTTCTCTGAATATTGGCAATATAAATATTTCCTTGTTGCAGACAACATCACCTTTATTTTGCTGTGCAGCAGTATTTGCAAATATATTCCAGGGCAAATCTACTTCTATATCTTGGAACCTGTTAACAAGTAATATACTAAAAATAGAACAACTTCTATTGTTTGTATGTTGTGCTTTAGCATGCACTTAGATGTGCACAAAAATGAGCTTTTGTTCTAACTTGTGTGTTGCCTGAAGCAAATGTTCTACAAGTAAATGGCTGTGTGCAATTATAGAATCTGTGCTGACAGCCGGGAACATAAGCTGCACTGTTGCCTGCTACCTATAGATGCATTGGGATTTTTTAATTTCTATGGAAACACTGTCATAACTTAGTAATGCGTTGTTAATAAATTATTACCGTATATACTCGAGTATAAGCCGAGATTTTCAGCCCATTTTTTTTGCTGAAAAGTGCCCCCCTCGGCTTATACTCGAGTCAGCGTGGTCCCGTGGTCAGGTTTTTTCTTACTTACCTCGCCGAGCGTCGCGTCACTGCTGCTCCGGTGGGGGGCGCTCCGAGCGGGGTCATCTGGCAGTCTCCGGGTCCTAATTTAGGTGGCCGGAGACTGCCAGATGACCCCACTCGGAGCGCCGCCAGTATATACGGTATTTCTTTTGCTCTACACTTGTATCCTATTTTATACTCACCTGCCATATCCTCTCTGAGCAGCTCACAAGGAGTCGCTGCAAACTCTCCCAGTTGGTACGCTCCTCCTTCTGTGCATATGCAGAAATGTCTCATTCGTTCCTATGGAGAGGTTGTTTATTCTGCGTCCCAGTGGTGGATTTACTCTCCATGAAAATGAATGGGATTTTATCTGTTCATGCACGGAAGTAGTAAGGCTGGAAGATTTGGTGATGGCAGCTGTGTAGGAGCGAGGGAAAGTTGAGTGTAAAGCTGGCCATGCACCTTACAACCATGGAACGACTTCCGTTGTGTGATGGTTGTAAGGTCATTAAAATTTCGTACGATCTGCCCATCTTGGACAGACAGATTTGTTACTTTCGGTCTTTGCAAGCCCTCCCCGCTGAGGGGAGGGCTTGCCGATGATTACAATGCTAAACAGGCAGTGTGCGCTTGCACACACCGGCCCGTACGGCTTTCTTCTTCCGAGTACGCTAGGAACCCGCCGAAAATCGTACGATTTTCAGCGGGTTTTCCAGCGTGCTAGGAAGACGAAAGTCGTGCGACCGTACAATAGATGCGGTCACACGCTGCCCATACACCTGCTTGTACGATAATCAGCGGGTTGGTAGCGTGCTCGAAAGATGAAAGCCGCACGGGCCAGTCAGCACGCTCAGCATTGCAATCATCAACAAGACCTACCCGCTGATGATCGCAAGTACGATCTGCCCGTCCAAGATAGGCAGGTTGTACAAAATTTTAATGACCTTACAACCATCACACAAAGAAAGTCGTGCGATGGTTGTAAGGTGTATGGGCAGCTTTAGGCTTTAAAGGAAAGTAAGTTCCAAAAGTAAAATTATCCTTTAACCCTTTCACTGCCAGGCCTTCCACTCCTCTTATAACCTCAGCTGACCAAGCCATTTTTGCAATTTTTAACATTTTTTTTGTTTGTTTTTTCATTTTCAACTGCAGTTTTTAGGGTTTGTAAAAGGCCCCCCCAACTATACATTCTCTGAAAGCGCAGGACCGCTAGTATAAAAAGATGCTGCTTCTAATTTTGTAGGTCCCGCAACAGTTGCGTAAGTGTTCATCAAATCAATATTTTCGTTAACAATACACGAAACGCATTATCAGCGCACACGCAAAAATTGCAATTTACAAGATTCCTACTAAACCTAAAAGATAAAACTGTATTGGGGAATAAAAGACATTCGTAAATATTTAAATTGCAAATTTTTGCAAAACCGTAAAAAATGAAGAAACACAAATCTGTAAAGAAGCAACGTATGCTAAAAATCTGAAGGTTGGCCTTACACTTATGTGTTGTGGTAAAGTGTCTGATCTGCAGTGCTGTTTGTGCACTGCGTTGTGCATTGTGATAAAATGAAGCAGGCATACATTTATTCACGATGCAGCGTATTACAATGCATGGTATGCACTGCCACACAGTTGAATTAATATTTAAAAAAGAAAAAAAATTAAGCACAAAAAACAATGCACCACAGTGCATGTGCTTAACGCACACTACATTATGAGGCGTGTTTGGGGGGTGTTTTATTTCTTAACCTTTTTTTTTTTAAAGAATTTTTAAATTATATTTTATTATTTTTTTTTACTGTCAGGAGGCTTTGGAGAAGCATCAGGGGTCTCTATTCCCCTGAGATTTCCCTTTTGAAATAGAAAAAGAGATTGAGGACACAGAATCCTCAGTCTCCTTCTCTGCAGCCCCAGCACTTAATTAACAGGAAGCACTCAGTACAGAGGCTTTCTGTTCATTTACAAACTGAGAAGGCATAGTATGTTTACTATGTCCCCAGTTCTAAATGGACAGAAAGTGATGTATGCAGAACACTTCCTGTCCATTGTTTATGAATGGACAGGTGTCCGGCATACATCACTTTCTGTCCATTCATAGTAAAACATTTACTATGTCCCCAGTCATGAATGAACAGGAAGTGATGTATAGCGCTTCCTGTTCATGCATAACTGGGAACATAGTAAATGTCTCAAATTTTCCCAGTTATGATTAAACACTGGAGTGATCAGTTATGGGGTTGGGGGCTGATTTTGAATAGCTGTCGTCAGGGGCTCGTCAGCCGCTGATCAAAGCCATTCATTTACATAGGAGTGTTAAGGAGACCCTTCTGTTATAGGTTGATGGTCGCTGAAACGAGTGAAGCTGAGGTAAGGCATATTAAAAGTGCATTTAGGTACCTTAACTATTAACAAAAATGTATCTTATGTGTGTATCACTTGGTTGTAGATCCTCAAATCATCTCTGAATTGGTGCAGACACTGTCCTTCTTTTTGGAGGGTGGCTACATTTATTCCCTATGGTCCCTGTGTGTGTTGTAAAGTAGTCACCACTCCAAGCTCGCTCCTGTGTTGGACTACAGTATATCTTAATACAAATTAGTAAGCTAAACATGAGATTGTAGTTCATCACAGGATCGGTGACTACTTTACAACACACACAGGGACCATGGGGAACAAAAGTAGTCACCCTCCAGAAGGAAGGACAGTGTCAGCACCAATTCAGAGAGGATTGGAGGATCTACAGCTGAGTAATGCACAAATAAGATACATTTTTGTTAATAGGGAAGGTACTTGAATGTAAGGTTTGTAAGGTTTTAGGTTAAGTATCACAAAGGGATACACCAAACATGAAACATTGTCTTCAACCTGACTCAGAGGACACACCAAGCCTGCTATTATGGCACTATGCTATTGTCCATGTATTTAACTTCTACAGTTAGTCACACTGCTAACTAAATCCCTAAGGCTGCTATTGTGTTTGTTTATAAAACGTCACTGACCCTGCAAAAGTGCAGGTGAGTGTATTCCCTGGTCTCAGCTTCTTCCACTGCCACCTAACCCACACACAGTGCAACTTAAGGTAGTAAAGTGCCTGGTACAGAATTATGTGATTAGTGTGTGCATCCCCACTGATTCTAACTGCAAAGGATTAAATATGACAAAAGGAAAAGAAGAAAAGGAAAAACAACATCGTTTATTGTATTTATGTATTAAATAAAAATTATACTGAATGTATTAAACTAATATAGGTACCTAAAATATGTACTTATTTTAGCTTAATTTACTTCCCAGCACTAAGGGAGGGTCGTCTGCATTAACTGTGGTAGAGACTTTCCCTAAACCAAATGATTGGCTAAACAATATTGCAAACCATTAGTTCACATCTATGTTTTTAAATGTGTACTTATCTGTATTCAGCTTTTAAGGAAACTATATTTAAAATTCAGGAAATGGTACCACCCACCATTTACAATATCACTGTACACAGTGACACAGTGTTCAGATTGAGACATTCAGTTAGTTGGGTTGCACCTCCTTGGTCTGCGCAGTACCAGGCAGTGTTTTGGTCCAAAATGGAGCCCTGCACCTCAACTGTGCTTTGGAGGTGTGATCTATAAAAATGATTGAAACATCAATCTCCCTTTGCTGAGCAGGTACTGTATTTGCATACTACAACAGAAGAGCAGGAGCAGCCTCACTGTGAGAAGATGTACTACTGCTATCGTTATTATATGTGCTGGATTCCATGTCAAGATCCATGGGCGCTGGTGTGATCTGTGTTGTTAGAAGGTGTTTTGGACTACAGCACTCTGCTTCAGTTTAAAACATTACTAGCCAATGTGCAGACCTGAACAGTTCAACCCATCTGACATCTGCATCTGAGAACTTTTTTTTTTATGTGGGGAGAGGGCTTTTTACTGGGATTTACCTTAAAAGTAGTTACCCTTTACCTTGACAATCTTATCTGTCAGCATTTATGAATATACATAATGGAATGCAGCATGCACCTAATATGTATTCTTATTTCTGGTTTTATTTTGCAGCCTATGAAGCCACTAAAGGCCACTGCCACAACATCACAGCCGGTTTTGACCATGCAACAAATAGATGCCATTTTTTACAAGGTCCAAGATATTTATGAATTCCACAAGGACTTTTATGACAACCTTTACCCTTGCGTGCAGGAGTTTGACAACAAGACAACTGTCGGGCACCTCTTTCAGAAACTGGTAAGTGGAAAAAAAAGTTTTGCAGTGATTACTCTAGCTCCAAAAATCCTGCAGATTTTATAGCTACGTGTAGAGGTTCCCAAAAACATTGTATGAATTTTGGCCATGAGCCAGCAGGAACATTTTCTTCTCGTGCTTCTAGTAAAACACGATGATACAAAGATGGCAGTGGACACAACCACAGAATGAGACCCCGAGGATCAGGCAGTGAAAGTCAGTGGGCAGACAAATTATTCTTGCTCTGGTTTAAGAGATCAAACCACAGCTCTCTAAGGTTCCGAAGTTGAGGAAAAAATTAACAGGCTGTGTTTAGAATCCTAAAGAGCTCTGCCATTAGAAATTTTAGGAAAGGTTTTATGTAGTACAGAAAAACTGACACATTTAAGAGGTTACCTGTCCCAGACCACACCCAGGTAACCCTAATGCTGGGCACACACCTTACAAAAGTTTTGCGATGGTTGTAAGGTAATTTAAAAAACGTATGATCTGCCTATCTTGGACAGGCAGATCGTACTTCCGATGACCGCAATGCTGAACGGGCACTTGCGCACACCGGCCCGTGCGGCATTTATCTTACGAACATGCCACACACCCGCCGACAATCGTACGATTCTCTGCGGGTTTTCGAACATGTTCCTAAGATAAAAGTCGTGCGACCTTACAGTAGCAGGGGTCGCACGCCTTCCACACACCTTGCGTTAATTGTACGATCGCGTGATTTCCCGCTATTATCGTACGATTATCGCAAGGTGTGTGGGCACCTTTACATTGCCCACAGCACCATACTAAAGTACACAAAAAAAGGGAACAGTTGGGGATACACAGTGCTTGTAACCAGCTTCTAGTGCATGTCCAGGCATTACCCAAATTTACCCAGAAATTCTACCTTTTCCACTGTAGAGCATGTCCTAGCATTTTATTTCTCTGTTACGCTTTTCCTGTAGTGAGAAACCGCTTTTATTACCTCCTGTGACCATCACCAGCCTTGTAAAAATACTTAGAACTCATATCCTGGTGATGAGGGCATGCCCCAAAATTACATAATGGGGCATAGAGTGTAAGGCATGGGCCTCCTTGTGTAGACTGGCTGATCTTTTTTTTGTGGACCTGGTTTTGTCTGAGGTTCCCTCTGCAGACCTGTTCTCCAGGAGGTTGCTGCAGTGTTTTGTTCTGTTGGCTACATCATGTTGTAAGTATGGTAGTTATGTTGTTCCACCAGTTTTTTTTTTTTTAGTTTAGCAGCCCCTTGCTGGTTTAGGCTCAGTGTTACTCAGGGTAGAGTCATTCCCCTCTGCCGGTGATCTCCTATATCCTCCTCTTGAGCATCAGGATGATCCTCTGTGGCCTTCCCTTGTATTTCAAGGGGCATTACCTCTTCTGGTTCAGATTTGGACACTGGTCTCACAGGTGGTTCCTAGTCCCATTTTGTGGGCCTGTCACTGGCAGTTGCCCACCCCTCAGTTTGACTGCTTTTGAATGTCTCAACTGTGTTTGAATTCCCTAAATGGATGAGAAAGAAAATAGGTTTTTGGTACTTATTGTAAAATCTATTTCTTGGAGTCCATTGAAGGACAGGGGTCCCACCCCTCTGTGTTTTTCTTTTGTCCTTGTTACTGCTTTTCCACACAGCTGAAGCATACTGAGTAGAGAAGGGATTATATGTGCACTGGCTTACAATTTGTCTTTTTGCCAGTATCCATACCTGTAGGCGGCAATGTAACCCAACTATATCTGAATTCCGGTGTTCTTCAAGAGACTAGAGCAATAGATTTTACGGTAAACATATAAATCATATTTTTCTACACAGTGTATAGGAAGGTTCTTGGAAAAGCAGCAGTTTTGTTTGGCTAGGAAAAAAATAACTGTATGCATGGACATGGGGTGAGGATAGTATACAAGGCCTTTCTAAAACATGGGAAAAGTAGCAGATATTGAAGAGATGTACTAAAGATTTTGTATTTTTTAACCTTTCCTTGACTTAAAGCAGATGGGCTGGTAGGCATACATTACACATCTTTTCACTTGCCCCCCAAAAGACCAAAACAAGCAAAATCATGAAGTATTAGCTTGTATTTTGCCCAAAACATGTAAGCTAACTAACTACGCCAAGAGTATTTGTGTTGGGTAAGTCTTACACTAATACTTTAAAAAGTAAAAGCTTTATTTAGACTAGAGTCTGTGCTAGCAACAAATAAGCTGCACTAATTAAAGGAAAACTATGCCCTGAAAATGCTTTTTGTTTGAGTGTCATGGTAATTCTATGGCTTCAGTACTTCTTAAAGGAGAACTATGGGGTTAAGGCTTTCCCCCATAGTACTCCTTAGGGTAACGGGAGGACACAAACTAGCGTCCTCCCGTCACCCTAGGCTCAGTATACCACGAGCTGTAGCTCGCGGTATACTGAGACGTTGCAGTATACCGCGAGCTGATGCTCGCGGTATATTGAGACGCAGCAGCTGAAGCGGATCCCGACAATTGTGCCGGGAACCGCCCTGCTGTGTGACTGACAGCTAACTCTGCCTATCTAGAGGCAGAGCCAGCTGTACCCGCCCCCTCCCCCATCCGTTCCGCCAGTCAGCGCTGGCGGATCGGAGCGGGGAGGGGGGAATGCAGCAACTCCCCTGTCACGGCAGAGAGCCGTGACAGGATCGAGAGGTGAGCGAATGCCGGTATGTGTTTGCTCACCTCCCGATCTACTGAGCCGACCTGCAACAGTCTCATTGTCACAGGTCGGCTAGAACTATGAGGTGGGTGACAAGCACTCACCTCATAGTTCTCCTTTAAGTCCCTGACCCAGACAGAAGTTATGACTTCACTAGGCATCGGCATGTTCCAGGTCAGTTAGAAAAATATATAACTACAATACCTGGCGTAATTTCCTAGGCAAAAGTTCCCTTTTAAACATGTGAACATATTCAGGCAGCAGTTTGGGCAGCATGCCACATTTTCACTGCAAAGTACACACCCTGTGGCAAGTTCAGATACGGATTTATTGGGAGCAGTAGGCTTAGTAAATAGCCATGTGTTTACAAGAGCAGACCACAGCATATATGTTTCTGACCGCCTTGTATTAATCAGTGCACTCCATTAAAGCTGGATGCTGTTCGGAAATGAAACTTGACATTTACTGTGCAATTACCTAGCAGTGAATGCAACACAAATTAATACCGATGGCCAAGCAAGTGCGTGTATGCACTTAAACTTCCACTGTTTGGTTGGCCATATATGGTTTAATAATTCTCACTCTCGCCAGTTAGGTTGTGAATCAGCTGACAGAGTGGTAATAATTAAATCCGATTTCAGTATCCTAAATCGTTTTTTTTTGTGTAGGCCAGTTATCAAATGAATAAGAAACTGTATACATTGATGGGAAGGATGCCTATATTTATGTTCTGTATTTCTACACTTTATTATGTATTGTAGGCTCTTTCTCTTAAGAACTACAGTAGATATGGATCAGTGTGACTTCTGAGGCATGTAGTCCCATAGCAGCTAGACAAGCATAATGTACCCCTTATTCTTTATAGGAAACCTGTACTGAGAGAAATATAAGGGTTGCAAAGCTTGACTGAACCAAATTTGGCTCGCCCTTGCTAGCTCCACTCTAGGTGTTTTGATGGGGGTTCTCCACGTGGCAACATGAATATAGAAAAGTAAATCAGCACCCTAGCTTGTTATATACAGTATTAAAAGCAGTTTTTATTCCACAACTGATTAAATCAACATAGCGTATACTATCAGGGTTATTCACAAGAGGGGGAAGAGTTAGGAGAAGTGAACAATCTAGGCCAAAATCGCTGATATTTTTTGAATTCAGCTATGTTGTCCTAGAGTGTTCACTTCTCCTGCCTTCTCCAAACTCTTCCCCCTCTTGTGAGTACCCCTGTGTGCGTTTCAGAAACGTTCCTTGTCCAAACAAAACTTGCAGTTGCTATATTGATTCTATCAGCTGTGGAATAAAGACTGCTTTTGCTGTGTGATGAGATGGAATGTCAATCAATTAAACAAATACCACCTTTGAGAGAGCAGAAAGGTGGATAAAGAAGTTATACTTCAACCAAGTGTGTATAATTATTAGCCAAATGACTTACTTTATTAAATATACTAAAAAAAAAAATGATACATGAAGAGAATATGAACACAGCACCATCAAAACGAAAACCTCTAATAAAATTAGCAACGTTGTCAATCAAATCACACATTAAAAGCATAGGAACAATGCCGTTTCCAAGACCCCCTATGTTATTTTAAATCACTGATGGCCATCGCTGCTGATAATTGCAAAGTCCACCTTAATTAGATGTCAGTTTTGTTGTAAATGAATCACCTTTCTCTGGTAGTATACTAGCAAATTGCTAGATGAGTAATATCCTAGGGATTTGAACAATTGGAGATAGCTCTGATAAGTTCTCCTTGTATATGTCACAATGCTTAAAGGAGAACTATGAGGTGAGTGCTTTTCACTCACCTCCATAGTTCTAGCCGACCTGTGACAATGAGACTGTCACAGGTCGGCTCAGTAGATCGGGAGGTGAGGGAACACATACCAGGTTCGCTCACCTCAGCCTATGTAGTGAAACTCTTAGGCTAGGTTCACATCAGATGCAGTGCATCCGGGCCGATTTGGGCCAGAACACACTGCATCGCATTGCGGCCAGCTCACTTTTGTCGGGCAGGAGGGGGCGTGGCAGGCCATTGATTTGAATGGCACCATAGCCATGCCCTCCGGCCGCAATGCGATTGGCCGCACGGGATCGCAAGGCACATTGTGGTCTGGTCCGGTGCGATCAAAATGCTGCAAGCACTATTTTGATTACACCGCACGGGACCGCAGGCACAATCAAAATAGTGCTTGCCGCATTTTGATCGCACCGGACCAGACCACAATATGCCTTGCGATCCCGTGCGGCCAATCGCATTGCGGCCGGAGGGCATGGCTACGGTGCCATTCACTTCAATGGCCGTCACGCCCCCTCCTGCCCCATAAAAGTGAGCCGGCCGCAATGCGATGCAGTGCGTTCTGGCCAGAATCGGCCCGGAACGCACTGCATCTGGTGTGAACCTAGCCTTAACTCTAATAACGTGGAGGGAGCAGTCAAAGCTGAGAGTTGCATTTAGAAACAAAGTTTCATGTTGGAGGAACATCAGTATCACATGAAGCAAATATGTGGCTAAATTGCAGATGAAAACATCAGTGTAGCTGAATCTTCCATATATCGCAAAGTGCACATTGCACAAGCCAGAGAGATGAGGAGCAAGTATGATCTTACTGTTTTCCTCGTAATCGGACACAATATTTCGAGTTTGCAAGAGGATTCCTCGATTAGACACCCATCATCAATACACTGCCAAAGTGTGGATACTCCTTCCCGTTACATGCCGTAACAATATCAAAAGTAGGCTCAATGATGATCTCCTGTCTTAATCTGGGTCTCTCTCTGGGTGCATGGGAAGACTCACACAAATGATCTCCAAGCCAAAAGTCCTCTTTTTATTCTTTACTGCTAAGGCATCAGATAGTCTGCAATCCGTGGTATGTTTTCCAGTGCTTTATTCAGCATAAACAATCTGTTTTCATGTGGGTCATGGGTTGTTCCAAACACCTGTTTACGCGTTTCGCCCCGCCTCCTTAGGGGCTTTATCAGAACGTTAATCAACCTTTTCCTATATTTACTGCAAAATAAAAAAGTCACACACTCCTCTAATATTTAGTTGGACCACCTTTAGCTATGGTTACGGCATGCATTCGCTGTGGCATTGTTTTCATAAGCTTATGCAATGTCACAACATTTATTCCTGTCCAGAGTTGCATTCATTTTTTTTTTTTAACCAAGATCTTGTAGTGATGATGGGAGAGTCGGACCACAGCATAACGTCTTCTCCAGCACATCCCAAAGATTCTCAATGGGGTTAAGGTCTGGACTCTGTGGTGGCCAATCCATCTGTGAAAATGATGTCTCATGCTCCCTGAACTATTCTTTCACAATTTGAGCCCAATGAATCCGGGCATTGTCATCTTGGAATATGTCTGTGCCATCAGAGAAGATAAAATCCATTGATGGAAACCTGGTCATTCAGTATATTCAGGTAGGCAGCTGACCTCATTTTTTTGGGGCCATACCATTGCTGAACCTAGTAATTATCCAATGGAAGGCTCTTACCTATTTGCTTAGCCAAATCCAGGTGGTGACTTTTTTTGGGCTTGGCAGTGTAGGTTGCCGTGGGTGACCTCCTCCTAAAAATTTTCTGTTGCCTGGCCGCTGCTAACACAAACAATGCAGGTCATGTGACACGAAGAGACCGCTTCATCTGGCTCCAGCACTGGGCTCTCCTTAATGATGTAGAGAGTGCTGCTGATGTCATTATTCTCTGCATAATTATACTGTAAGGGCAGGGCGCCATTTAGCAATGGTGGCCTACATAATTCCCTCAGTTTAAGTTCCCTTTGAGCACACTTTTGAGAAAAACATTGGTATTTCTAATAGGTTACACAGAAGCTGTGCTGGAGCGGTATTCTTCTGTAGGTGAGTGTAGGAAGTGTTCACAGCACTAATACAATAGAAGAAAGTAATGATATTGATGTCCTGAAGTCGCTTCTCAATGTCAGCAGTCTGATCTTTTATGACATTTGCTTCTCAGAAAACAAGTGATGTTTATACACAATGCGATTTAGATCAGACAGAGCACAACCGGAGCAATGTGCTACCTACCACTGTGCAAAGCTTCCTTTTTCCATCCAATTTCATTCACTTCTCAAGCTTGCTGTCCTTTTTGCAGGAGGAAGTCTTGTGGCTCGGTACATTCTGACTTCTAGAAAATGTTCCGTTTTATTTCCCTATTTCACAAATTATTGTTCCCGAAATAGTTTTGGCTAATTAAAAAGGCTTGATTTTTAAGTGAGTCACTGGGTGCCCTGGGGGCTTGCTTCCCCACTCTGTATTAGGTTTCACTCAGACTTCCTTTTTAGCCGATTTGTTTTTTAAAACACTTACATACCACAAGAAAATGCTTCAAGCACCACTGCAGTAAGCTGCCACTTTCCACTGCCTCCTCCACTGCCAGGGTCACACCAAGATGCTGCCATCTTAAGTTTCAGCCCAGGTATATATAAAAACATTTAATAAAATATATTTTATATACAACTCTGCCCTGACATCAGCCTCTTGTAACCCCAGCACATAGCACTCAGAATGGGATTGTGAAAGTTATCACAATCAGCCAGCCAGGGTTGTATTGCGTAGCATTGTGCTGTCAGTCAGCTGTATGAACATGCTTGCAGGAGGAAAGAGCACAGTGATGACCTCACTGGTGTATTGTTTCCCTTGCTGTCCACTCAGAGGCTGGGGAAGATCAGTGATCAAGCTGTATTGATTTATCATGGTAGAGAAAAGTCAGGTCATCAGCCTGGCTAGACTGTCTGGATCAAAAGACTGGCTCAGCACAATTACAAATCATTTGGCAGATAAAATGTTTCACATACAGTTTGTGTCAAAACTATACATAACTTGGAAGTGTTCAACAACTGTATTTGTAAACTATAAATATATATAATGTATTTTTTCTTTTTCTAATGGTATATATGAGGTGGGACCTGCTCTGTTTCTCTGAAAGGTTTCCAGACCAGCACAAACTCCTGGATCTCCCCACTACCCAGCCATTTTTGGGTACATATGGGAAGACTGGAATGGGAAATTAAAGGTCATTGGACCAAAAATAGTTCACACACTAAATGCATCTGAGCTGAGCAGCCACTATTTCATTATATATTTTTTTGTCTACATTTTCCTAAACTGAAAACACAGAAAAATAACGTGTAGTGTCGTTATGTCCATTTCTATCGCTATTCGAGGAATAAATAGTATTGTCATGGTCCTCCTAGAATATATTATGACCTTGTAGAGGGCCACTCCAGGGGTGAAGTGATACGAGTCTCTGGCTTCTCTAAACCACTGTCCAAACCTGTTGTCATAGAAACCCAGGCAGATTCCACTTCAGTCCGAATGGATGGATTACACTAAAGGAACACCACAAAAGGAGGAGATATATGTAGCTGGTAATCAAATATTTTATAACTTTGTGTATGACCTTCGCTTTTCCATTTTCTTTATCAGGTCAGCCAGCTGGGAGTATACAAGGCCTTTGTGGATAACTACAAGTTTGCCCTGGAGACTGCTGAGAAGTGTAGCCAATGTAATAACCAGTTCACTAAAATCTCAGAGGTAAGAATGAAAAGAACATGTAATCATAAGCTGCTGTGTCTATAATTGTTAATACGAACATGGGATTAAGAAGAGAGGCCTTGAATGAAGTGCTCAGTATATGTAAACTTTATGTTCAAGATATATATACCAGTGTGTGTATGTGTGTATATAATATATATATATATATATAATTTTTTTTTGTTTTTTAACACAGCCTTCATTCAAGACCTCCTTTTCTTGCTCACATGTTCATGTCCGTGTTTACATTTTCGGACTGTACACTTGGCTGTGTAGTTTATTTATTTTGATTGTTTTTTTTCTCTTTGTAATTGTGTAGTGGGTTTTATCTTGGCACCTCATTTATAATTGTTAAAGAGGAACTTTACCCACCAATTTAATGTATATCAAGTTATTTTCAAGTCTAAAGTTGACCATACATTGTACAATTTTTGTGCAAAATGTTTTATTTCTGGCACGAACCCTCGTTCAATTATACCTAGGCTTCCCCCAAGCATAGTCAAATGTCGATTTCAGAAATGGTTAGTTAGCCATACTAACCAACCAATGGCAACTGCAATCCAAATAGAGGCCAAGATGGCCTTAGTTAGACGGGTGTAGTCCTGCTTTAAATCACTTTACTGTTACTTTGTTCTTCAGAATTAAGGGGACATAATTTTAAAAAAATACAGCTGTATTACAACACTTAAATAATACTGGGCGAGCAAGTGGGCCTAACAAAAAAAAAATGTAATCCATGTATTTAATTTTTGTTTATTATATATTTCTCCCTGGGGACTCAAAGCACTATATCTACTGTTGACAGGACTAAGTTTACACATAAGCCAATTAACCTCCCAGCTTCTCTTTGGAATGTGTGAGGAAACTGAAGTACCTGGAGGAAACCCACAGCAAAGCACAGGGAGAACATGCAGTGTCCTATGGACACAACAAACCAAGGACCTTAGTGTTGCAAGGCAGAAGTGCAAACCACTAAGTCACTGTGCTGTCATTTCACTTTTTCGCACAGATAATAACAGTAAAAGTAAAGTGCCTAAAATTATACCTGGTGCTATGATAATGGACGTTTGTGCACCCTGCTGTTGTGATGGACCTTGGTGTATTGAGGTCAGCAGAGCATTTGGACTGAGTTCTCCAGAATATTATGCCAGAGATCATACTAGCACCTCGTATATCAGGAAGTCAGAGAAAACATTACATAGTTAGTCTGGTTGAAAAAGACACAAAGTCCATCGAGTTCAACCTATAGAGATGCAATTGTCATATTCAGGGAATACTGTGGTAAATAAACACTGACTCATTTATTTTGGTACCTTTTAAAAAAAAATGAGTTGAGGGCCTATGGATATAAGCTGATATCTTAATATTTTTTTGTATAATTGCTGCATTTCTCTTAAAAATCAAAAAAGTCTTCAATTCAGATAGCTTGGAGAGTAAACTGTTATTAATGGATGAACTGATACAGCGGGCATAATAAATATATGCATATATATTGGAGACAGGTGGGGGTTGTCCACAAAACAGAGTATTCTCTAGTCAGCCATTGCTCCTATGTGCTGTGGGAGTACCTTGAAGCCTGACACATGTGGAGAGTGTGCCCATGCCTGTCTGGCCTGCCCAGACTCAGACTGGCCACTGAACCAGACTGATGTCTGAGAGTGGGAATTAGCTTGTGAAGGGAAGGGGTTTTCTCTGTCTGATCTAAGCAAGTAGCAAATCTGTATACGAGCAGACGAGAGGTCCAGTCTGTTGACTGAAGGAACCATTTAAGCAGAGAAGCTGAGACTGAGGAAGTGCTCAGGAGAAACAAACAGCTGTGTGACAAAAATAGCCAGGAGGCTGAAAGACGATTGTATTTGTTGTTGTGTATATGCTAATGTTTGGATGAATAAAGTGGGCAAAAAACCCTAACATGCATTCTGCTGCATGGACGAAGTCCTTGAAAAACTCTTCATTTAAATGCATTGAGCTTTTTTTTCCCTTGAACTTATGATATGACATGGTAAGCTTGGGATTTGCTTTGAATTCCTTACGAGTTTCTTCAAGATTCTTTAGCATTCACATTGACTTGTATGGATGAGGAGCAAAGCAATTCAGACACACCTGCCTGGCTTACATTCCCTGAGTGTAATGAGCATTTTGGCTAGGTTCAGTAGTGAATTGTCCCAGAATAATAAAACACTGACAAGTATAAATGGCTTTACAAATGTCATGCTTTGTTATATTATCCCACACAATTACTAAAAACAGTTCTGAAAGATGTGGAAATGATTGCTTGTACTTTTGTACGGTCTCTGGCTTTCCATACACTTTGTACGCTGCAGAAGTACCTCTGTTGTTCACATCCCCATGCCGATGTCGTCACCCTACATACAGGTGAAACTCGAATAATTAGAATATCGTGCAAAGTTCATTTATTTCACTAATGCAACTTAAAAGGTGAAACTAATATATGAGATAGACTCATTACCCACAAAGCAAGATAATTCAAGCCGTGATTTGTCATAATTGTGATGATTATGGCTTACAGCTCATGAAAACCCCAAGAACCCCAAATCCACAACCCCAAAAAAGTAGATTATTACATCCAATCAATAAAACAAGGATTGTACATAGAACAATATCGGACCTCTGAAAAGTACAAGCATGCATATGTACTTAGTACTTGGTTTGGGCCCCTTTTGCAGCACTTACTGCAATTACTTTTGCACGATATTCTAATTATTAGAGTTTCACCTGTAGATATACAGAAGGAATAATAGGGGGATCTCTGTTTAGAAGAAGTAGAACCCTCTCCTTTGAAGATCAGTGACTCAGCTGTCAAGTATTCAAGTCTTTATGCTGCTTTCAAAATGTAGGAAATAGTTGATCCTCTCCAGTATAGAACGTTTCAAAGTCTATATTATAAATACACTTTAAGTACAGTACTTGAGGATATTTCTTTAGCGTTATTTCCAATTTTATTACAGTAGCTTTTGCATCGTTAACGGCTTGGTGTGCGCTAGGTGGAAAGCTGCCAGAGGGAGATTGCTGCCTGTTGATATGCATGGAGTCAGCTGGCAGTAATTGCACTTCCACTGACCATAATGTGTGTAGTGAAATCATTTGAACACAGTTATTACACAATATCATGCAGTGCTGGATGACGGTGTCACATGACCCGGCTCCGTAAATGTGAATTCCTTCTATGCTGACAGCATCACATTGTAATTAGCAGGTGAGATCAGATGAAAGTCATATCAGCTTGAAAGGAGGTTTTTGTACACTTCATTAAAATGTATACATTTTCATGGGGCTCAATCACTGTTTGAATCTTTTTTATTTTTTTTTATTTTCTCCTCCGTATCTCATATTAACCATTTCACACACTTGTTAAAATCTGTTTTTTTGGCTAGCAAATTGCTAAAAGCCGCAAAACTCTGAAGGGAATTTATTAAAACTGGAACAGAAAGAATCTGGAGCAGCTGCCCATGCAACCAATCAGCATCTCTGTTCAGTTAAGACTTGCAAATGAAAGAGAGGCGATTGGTTGCAGTGCACAGTTGCTCCAGATTTTGTCTGCTCCAGTTTTGATAAATGCCTCTCTATATATATTTCTGACTGCAGAGGCCCTGTAGAGTAAAAAGGTCATAGTTGCAACTTTTTATGCTGCATGATATTTGCGCAACTGGTTATCAAACCTATACTAAAAAATACACTAAAATGAACTTTAGTGCACAAAAGCACAATATAATCCCAATTTGTTTGTACAAAAAAATAGTTGTGACTAGTAATTAGAAGACTCAAAACTGCATGTGCCTATGAAATGGCAAAAAATGACGACACCCAAAATTATCAATAGGCAACTAATGCCTTTATAACGCATCAGCTTACTGTTAAACATAAATGAGGGACCTAGAATTATTTTGCTCACTCCAGTTTGTGCAGCTATGTCCAATATGTATTGCGCAGTGGTTGTTTGCATACACATGAGCACTTTGTGGGTTTGTATGTGTGCTGCAGCCCAAGCTTCTTTTAACCACTTCAGACCAGGAGATACATAGGAAATCCCGAAGTGATTAAAGTGTACTTAAACTCTAACAATTACCTTATTTTATTTGGTCAATTTTGGTCTGTTAAATATGTAATTAGAAACATTTTATGATACAGTGGCTTGCAAAAGTATTTACCCCCGTGGCACTTTTCCTATTTTGCTATTTTACCACCTGGAATTAAAATGAATTTTATTTGGATTACATGTACTGGATATACACAAAATAGACTAAAATGGTGAAGTGAAATCAAGAAAATAACTTGTTTAAAAAAAAACAAAAAAAACAGAAAAGTGCTGCTGCATATATATTCACCCCCTTTGCTATGAAGCCCCTACATATGATCTGGTGTAACCAATTACCTTCAGATTTCATATCATTAGTTAAATAAAGACCCCCTGTGTGCAATCTAAGAGTCACATGATCTCAGTATATATACACCTGTTCTGAAAGGCCCCAGAGTCTGCAACACCACTGAGCTGGGGGCACCACCAAGCAAGCGGCACCATGAAGACTACAGAGCTCTCCAAACAGGTCAGGGACAAAGTTGTGTACAAGTGAAGATCAGGGTTGGGTTATAAAAAAAAGAACCCGAAACTTTGAACATCCCACGAAGCACCATTAAATCCATTATTAAAAAATTTAAAGAATATGGCACCACAACAAACCTGCCAAGAGAGGGCCGCCCAGCAAAACTAATGGACCAGGCAAGAAGGACATTAATCAGAGAGGCAACAGAGACCAAAGATAACCCTGAAGGAGCGGCACAACTCCACAGTGGAGATTTGAGTATCTATCCATGGGACCACTTTAAGTTGTACATTCCACAGAGTTGGTCTTCATGGAAGAGTGGCCAGAAAAAAGCCATTGCTTACAGAAAAAAATGAGCAAACACATATGCTGTTCACCAAAAGGCATCTGGGAGACTCCCCAAACATATGGAAGAAGGTACTCTGGCCAGATGAGACTAAAGTTAAGCTTTTTGCCCTTCAAGGAAAATGCTATGTATGCCGCAAACCCAAGGCCTCTCAACAGGGACTGTCAAACTGTCACAATTTAGGAAATTATGGATGGCACTCAATACAGGGAAATTCTTGAGGGAAACCTGTTTCAGTCTGCCGGAGATTTGAGACTGGGATGGAGGTTCACCTTCCAGCAGAACAATGACCCCTAAGCATATAAAGAATATTTTGCAACTTCAAAGTGGCTGGCGTTTGTGTAAATCAAATGATGCAAATCCCCCCCAAAAATCCATTGTAATTCCTGCTGGTAATGCAATAAAATAAGAAAAATACCAAGGGTAGTGAATACTTTTGACAGTCACCGTATCTTTTTTTTAAGTTCTTGTCAGGAAGTCAAAGCTGTTCCATGTCCTCTGTGCACGTCCTGTGTTATCTCAAAGAGACTATTTAGCCCTCTTGGTTCTTACCTTGGGACTACAAGTTAATGAGTGTCTATGCTTTGGAGATGAAGATGGTGGAATGAATTGAGTAGTTTAGCAAAAGAAAACTGGGCAGGGTTTTGCGATGTCAGTCCACATTAGGAAATTTAAGGGCTAAGTGCATTTCTGGCAGGACAGGTATATTTCTGTGGTATGCGATAGGCAATTGAGTGCCAGCTCACATCTGAGGATACAAAAACACAAATAAATATTGGTAAAAGTGCACATACCATTATAGCTTTGCAGTGCCAAAGAACCAACATCATACACCACCATATGTGCAACACTGTTAAGAACAAGACTGTCTTAACATAAACATATTTATTTGAAACTATACCTACAAAAACATTATCATCGTTTTAATATCTATACAGACAACACGCACCTGTTTATCATCTGGAGTGTTTCAGTCCCTTATCCAGGAAATCTTGAATGTGTCTAAATGTGGGAGAAATTAAATCCGATGGCTATAAAATGATGGTATGCGATGGACTTAACTGAACCATTTCCCTCTATGGTGGCTGGAAGGGCCCCTAATTTGAACAATCAAATGGAACATAGCAAGTTTACCCTCAAACAAGAGAGTTTGTCTATGACTTGGCATAATAAGATATGGTCATCCCAGATAAGTGGAATTGTAATGTGGACTTGATAGTTTGAACTGTTTGCATTGAATGATGGTGACATATGAAGGAGTAGTACTATAGTGTATATAATTGAAAGAGCTTAATAGCCGCAGTATATTTTCTTGGTGGGATACTAATGTCATGAACTACGTTTTGCACCTGTGATGGTTTATGATTTCATATACCTGCCAGGCCTAACTGTGCAGTATTTCAACGCAAAAGAATTATCTCTGTAAAGCTTTAGAGGAAGAATTCTCTCTGTTGGAAGCTTTGTAGCATTTATGCCAAAAGAGATGCAATGTATTTTTTAGCATAGTTTGAATATGTATGGCACATAGAGGGTGTTGCTGGCTATTAAAGTAGAACTGAACTTTTAGTTTTGGATAGAGTAAGGGAGGGTTATAATCAATGGTAGCCACAAGAAGTCAGAAGAAATCATTCCAAAGTGAGAGAAGTCCCTGGTGGCCAGCAGGGCCACCAGAGCTAGTGTCCCCATTGGAGGTTTTCCCATTTATTCCTGTTCTGGTGACAACCCAAAATTTTAGATTTAGTCACCAGGACAACTAGAGAGGGTAAATCTCCTTAAGGAATACATGAACTGCAATAAAAACGAACCCCTCCCCACTCTGGATGTGGGTGTAACATGAAACATGGTCCTAAAGGTGAACTTAGCTTTTACGGTATCTATAGATATGAGATGACAGTTGCCAGATTTGACCACTTACAGACAGATCTCATGATTGTAATTGCTTGCAGTTGGGGCTGGTCAGCTGTTGGGGGTTAAAAAACAGAGAACTCCACAGATAGTTTTCCCTGCGGTCAGTCACTTTGTGTGTACACAAATAGCCAGTGTCTATAGGCTGTCTTATGGGCAGCCTAAAGGTGGATATACAGTGGTAGATTTTCGTATGAACATTCATATAAAAACTCTTATCAGAACATTCGATAGTGCTATCAGGGACTTGACAAATGTTCAAAGTTTTGTTTGATTCCAACATTCGATTTTGGAATTGAATGGAGTTTCCTGAACAAAAACTACATTCAGAGTTTCTATCCTGCTCCGTCAATTTTATTCGGTTGAAATTGATCATCAACTTGACCCCTTTAACTATTAGAAAATCGAGGGAACATTCTGGAATTGTATTGTATTGCAAAATTGTAACCCAGTTTTATCCATCATATAACATTATTTAACATACAGAACTGGGAACATGTTTGAGTTCACTGCTAGGACATCGCACTTCTCAACTTCCCTATTGAGAAAGCACTTAAACACTGGTCAGATATTAGTGATTACACGCACAGCTTAGGATAGATGGATTTGGTGCATGGTTCATTTTAGCAATCAGCAATGCGGGCAGCTAGAGGAATATCAATTGTCATGGTATGTCATTTACTGAGGTGGATTGTTATTTCTAATAACAACGCGGAACTGATCAGAAAAATTGTGCTTCCTTATGTTGTGTAAGGATTTTATATAGATCATTCATACATAAAATGAATTTGAATGGACTAGATGGAACTGGATGGATGCATATTAAAAGGAACCTGTCACAAGGACAAAATCCTAACCACAGACGCTTCTAATGAAAGCCGCCATTCTCTGCCTTATGGGTTGGTCACTTATTCCAGAGCAGTAACATCTCTTACGATGAATCTGAATTGGACTTCATCTTATTGCCTAGATCTAGGTATTTTTTATACAAATGTCTATATATGATGTCACATATCCTTTTTCTCTTTTTTTTTTTAAACCTTGAAAGCCCTGCCTGGCTTCATTCCAACTCTTGTGGAAGCAGAGCAGTTGTAATTAGGTGTAACAATTACAGTCCATTATTTGGTACAATAAGGAGAAGTGAAGGTTACTTAACTTATGGATCGAGTATCTCAATGAGAACACCCTAGAGTGTGGCACAATTTATGCTTCCTTAGGTCAGGTTTCCACAACTCGTGTAGTTTACAGCACTTGGCCCGCTCACTTGATGTCTTTGACATTTCTCTAGACGAGGTCAGCATATTTTGACCACAGTCAGCAATATCATATTGTAAACCAGATAAATTTCGATATCTATGCTTAAAAGTATTATAAGCAGAAAAAGTGGACCTGTCTCCAAGGCACGATGGAAGCAGCCATGTTATAAGTTTTGCCAATGTGAATTAATGGGCAGCACCAATTTATAGAAAAAAGTTAGCTTCTGTTAAATAAGGCAGGTGCGAATGGGAAGGACCTTTTGCTGCAAGGGAATTAAACAATTACCCTCTCACTGATCCTTGCCAGGCACCAAAGGGAACCTAAGTAAAACCTGCTTCTGAAATTTGGAGAACAAAAAACCCAGAGATCTTGGCTGCACAGGCTTAATATGTGAAAGACACATACCACTTAACTCTGAATTGTGGATATATAAAAGTGACTGGATCAATAACAAGGTTACATAGAGACTGTGGAACAACATATAAGTACATACTGGGCAACAGAAGACTTCTGAAAATTGTGCACATGGAAGGGACAGATCACTGCACGTTCAGTAAACTGATTTCCTCCCTCTTGTGCACCTCCCTTGCTGTTCATGAATGAATGAGCTTCTCTTTGATAATTATTTTAGTTTTATTGTTTGGCACACACACAAGAGGCTCCAATGCACAGAGCTAACAAACCAGAATAAAGATCTTTATTTTCAAAGAAGTGTCAGTTATTTTTAGATGAGTCCTATGAGATTTGAAAATGACTGTCACATGGCTGAAAATAGCGTGTCTTAGGCTTGTATTAAATCGTGAATTGGCCCTAAGGTCTCCCATCCCTTTTTATAAGTAAACAAGCTGCTTGGCATTTCTTTTCTATGCGCTATTTGGAGAACACACTAGAGAGATTGTTACCTGTTAAGTGCCAAAGCTCCTGATGCCTCAACAATAGCTGATCAGGCAGAATCTGACACAGGACAGTCTTTCTGTGTTTAAAATGATTTGTCAATGATTTGTTAAATGAATGTCAACTGCTCAAGACATTCTGTGACAATCTTCAAGTATTTCTGCATTCAGCTGATATGTGTTGGCATAGTGTGAAAATGAGTGCTATGCATACTGTTCCCTTCTGTTTATGGAAGACCAGTAAATGGACCAGCATCTATGGACACCTCCAAACACTGCAGGTATCAATGTCTGAAAGATCAGGTCCCTTGCTCCATCACATTATAAGTGTGGTACATCCTGGGGCAATGACACAACCTGAACTGTGTCTGCTCGGTCCTTGTAAATTTATACATATAGGCATGTTGCATCAGATGGAGAATTTCTGGAACTTGTAGTTCATTCTTAGGAAACCATATATGTTTAAGTATGTTTCTTCTTCTAATCTGTTTCAGTGCAATGCCATATAAATGTGCAAGATTTCCAGCTTAAAGTTACTTCATGGTAGTTTTATTTGCTTTGTCTGAGTCCAGCTTTCTTTTTCAGGATCTGAAGGTGAAAGGACCGAAGGACTCAAAGGAGCTGCCGACTTCTGTCACCATGGAAGGTACTGATCGCTCCACTACCTGTGTGATGTCATGGCTTTGTATCTTCCAGCCTATTCCTCTCACTTTATTCTCTCATCCTGTGATCACCATTTCCCGCTCGGTGTTTAGAGATGTGAACATCTGCTGTTTGGGTTGGGCTACCCCGAGCTGTTGTCGGAAATACGTATTTTTCAAGGTCACTTCAGTATTTACTGGCTATGTCATTTTGTGAGCGTTGGATAATAGTGTTCTGATTACTAATAACTACACTGGCCTCCCTGGCTAGCACAAGCACCCTTTCAATGCCTAAGGAGCACCCAAGCATGAGTTATCTCCTGTTATAAAGCCAGTTATATACATACCTAGCACTGTTGCATTGTTTAATTTGCACTTTGGGGCTTCAATATTTTAAAGCACAAATTGCAAAATTCCCAAAAAAGCAATGGCTACTAATTTAACTCATTGAATTAAATTCATCATTCAATGAATAGGTTTATTGGCAGAAAGCTGACATCTGATTGGTCACTGGAAATGTTGCTCCTCTTGTGTGGATTGTTTAATATATGGAAGAAAAAAAAAAAGATAAAACATGATATAGTGCTACTAAAGACTATATAGTATTTTTCATAAATATAGCATTCCCCTGCGGGCTCTGTCTGACATATAGGTGGATTATAGGGTTCTAGTAGTCACTATGAGGAAATGTATCAAAACTGGAGCAGCTGCCTATGGAAACTACTCAGTTTCTATCTTTAGTTTATTCAGTAAAGCTTTGAAAATGAAAGAGAGAAGCTGACTTGTTACCATGCACAGCTGCTGCAGATTCTGTCTGCTCCAGTTTAAATAAATACACCTCTATGTTTTTTGTTTAATAGTCTCAGTGTAAATTGTGCAGAAGGATTGATCATTCCCAAGTTGATTACAAAACACCCATAGGGCTTTATTTATAAAGTTCCGTCTGGCATAAAGCTGGGCGGTTGCAACTTGCGTAGCAATAGCGCCCCTAGATGGCGATAATGAGTGTAGGAAAGCGTCATGTAAACAGTGTTGCTGTGAGTGTTCTCATTATTTTTGCAACAATTTTACACTCGCCCAACTAAACATTCCCAGAATGCTGGAAAATATCGGCAACAGAAGCTTCCTTGTTTTAGTTTCAGGGCTTGTTCACACCATCTCCAGACCAGAAAGTTATTTTCATCTGGACCAAAAACTCATACACAGTAATTTCAGTGGTGAAAATGAGGCTAGTTCTCTCTAATGCACTCAGTTCCAGAGCTTTTTTTTTTTTTTTTTAAATAGTTTCTGGTCTAGAACACGTAAAAACACATGCAAACGCACAAAAATACACTTGAGCACGTCTAAAACCCAAGCAAAATCAATTAAGACCAAAGAAATGTGTGAAAAACACACATGACTGCACTTGCAGAACAGCATCCAGAGCTGGTCTGGAGATGGGGTGAGCAAGCCCTCAATGTGCTCTCGCTATATCTTGATCTAGTTCATATGGTTGCAGTGCACACTTGTTAACAAAGGTTGTGTTAAGGTGCCCATACACTGTGCGATTATCGCACGATAATCGCGGGAAATCCCGCGATCGTACGATAATCGCAAAGTGTATGGAAGGCGTGCGACCGTTTTTACTCCTCGGGGGGCGGGCTTGCGATGATTACGAGTACGATCCGCCTGTCCAAGATGGGTAGATCGTACGTTTTTTTAATTACTTTACAACCATTGCAAGACTAAGGTCTTGCGATGGTTGTAAAGTGTATGGCCTCCTTTAGGCCCCATTCACACAGGGCGATCTTGGATTCCTGCGTCAAGAACCAACACATTTTTGTGGCAGGAATCTTAAGTGTCCTGTTCACATGTGGCCGCTGTACCCATTGAAGTTAAAGACCAGGTGACAGCGGCCGCATCTGTAAGCGGCAGTCCACATGTGATTGTATGTGATATGATTACATGCGGTTTGGGATAGATGAATGTGGCTGGACCCATCTATCCTGCGTCTAGCGACAGGAATCTTTTCCAGACTGCATGTAATTTGTATCCTATAAGATTACATGCGGACTGCCACTTACAGATATTACCCAGTCATTTACTTAAATGGATACAGCAGCCGCATCTGAACGAGGACACCTGGCATTCCTGCCACAGGATTCCATAGGTTCCTGCCGCTGGATTTCCAGATCACCCTGTGTGAATGGGGCCTGAAGATAGCCCATTCATTTTAAATGAACTGTCAGTGCATCTAAAAATACAGCTGCACTATTGTGGCTACACAGCGCAATAGTATACCTAATGTATATTCAACATTATTATCCTTACATCCTGGTATTATAGAGTCCTGTTTATTGTTTTATCCTTCCTAGTAAAATTGATGTTCATTCTTTATGACATCATTGATTCAGCATTGGATCTGAAGGTTCTCTTTCACCATAGATCTCCGCTGCTGTTGCTATTGATTCTGTGACATTGGGGAAAAGCTTTTGTTGCAGCACAAAACGATGTCCACCTTGAACACTCCTCTCAGCCTGACTCCTCCTGCTCAGTCCTTCCCACCCCTCCTCATTGCATGGAGTGCATGTCTCTGTGTATATGTGAGCCTGCATGTTAGGTGACTGCTGTTGTGCTGAAGCCAGCAGATTGGCTTGTGCCGGCTGGTGATGGGGAGTGGGACGAGACATGGCCGGATGCTGGGGCGATGGAAATTCTCTTCATCTTTCGGCTTTGCTGTAATTGCACCTATGGTAAAATAGATCTTATCTTCTGCATGTTGTGGGTGTGAGTGTGCATGCTTCTCCTAGCTAAAAGTCTGAATTTGTGGGTATAATAATGCAGGTTCACTGATAGTATTCACCTTAGACAATGCATTGACTATGGGAACTTGTGTTTCATTCATTGTAGCAGTCAGTTCATCTGTCACTATGCTGCTTCCACTCGTTACTGGAAAGATTTTAAACAGATTGTTGCTGTTGTAGGAGAAGGCAATGTTTACCTTGCTTTTTAAACTGTAAGCTTCACTGCACACAGCTTCTCTGCTCTTTTTATGCCACTGCTTTCACTATGTCTTCAATTGTCACGTCCTTGCCTTTCGTCTCCAGCCGCTCCGCTCTTTGTATTATGCTGGTTGTTGATAGTGCCTTCAATAATTGCATTCATGGAGTGAGCCACAGAATAGGCGACGAGTTTTGAGATGGCTTTCTATGTGTTCAGCCATGTGTCTCTTCTGTAACAGAAGAAAAGTCTGCTAGCTTGATGGAATGCCAGGGACAAAGGTTTGTACATTGAGGTTTCGTGAAAGTCCTATTGCCGTAAAGTCTGTCTTGTAGAGAGGGGCGTTCCTGATGGCAAAACTCTGATTTCCAGGCAGGCATGAGGAGATCTCTGTATGGCTGGATCCTAGTTTAGGGGAGGGTCAGACTCACTGCAGACTGATGCATCCAGGTCACTGGAGGAACAATAGACCTAGGTAACTGTTTGCTGTGGTGGCTAAGCCAATAAGCTGTGACCCTGGAGAGCCTTGCCTATATCCTGTTAATGTATATGATGTCTCATGACCTTGTGCAGGTCACAGATGAGCCTTTTTGTATGGTTATTCTTTTAAAATATTTGCAGAATGTAATTTAGTCATTTCTCACGTTTATTCTAAGATGGTAGATTCGCTTATTGCAGTTGCTGATTGTTTCCATGGTTCCCATATAATCAACAATTGACTTTATATTAAAAAAAATTATAGTCCTGCACTTTATATGTGTGCAACTATTAGCAGTACAGGAAAAACAATATATGTGGATTTCTACAAGTTCATAGTGTGAGAAGACTGGCATTAACATGTGCAGATGCTAGAAATGACACCATTGTAAATGGCCTCTGATTTGTACCGTCAGTCCCAGGGTTTGGATTTTCATAACTGTTCATTTTTATTTCCATGATTTATGAAACTGATGACCATAATTATCATATACTTCATTGTTTTATGATACATTGACTTCTAACCATAAATAAGGATAGTCTTGGCTTTTTATTAGTATTTATTTAATGATAACCAACATTTAGAGTACAACAAATTTATATTATGAAAACATACTTTATCAGTAGGTATACAATAATTTATACCACCAGAGACAGGATTATGAATGATATTGGATACACTACTGTAGTAGCGCAATGTCCCCATAAAATTATTTTACGAGATTAGTAAATGTCCAATTACCTGTTATCATGTGAAAGTTATTTCAATGGCTGAGCTAAAAGGTGTTCTCTAGTCTGAGAACTCGCCATATCGTTCTTTAGACAGGCTGAACTTTATTACTGTTCATAAAAACATCTCTTTCGCCTTGCCTAGCACAAGAAGAGTGAGAGTGGATTGTTATGACAAGCCGATATGTTGCTTCCAGCTCATGTAACACCTCTGTCTCACCTGAATGGAATTTGTGTGAAGTCCAATATAAAGTGGTGTTTCGTGCTGAAGTTACATCAAACCGTTACAGAACATCGTAGAAACAAACTTTGACTGGTTCATTCAGTGCCCGTTCATGTTTTTGATATTTTTTAAATTTGTTTCATGTGGAAGAACCCAATCAAACTCCATATGGTACCCAGACCTATGAGGTTGTAGGTGGCGGAGGACCACAACATGTGTTGGCATCCACAAGTATGAGATAAGTCACCAATTCAGCACCAATATGCAACATTTTGGGACCAAGCAGGGTTCCTTTCCCCTGGCAACTGTGACCTCAAAAAGGTGACTTTATGTGACCCAAAAACATTATATATTTGTTGTGACTAAATCAAGTTTTTGCCGATGTGGTTTCTAGGCATGTGGATGACAATCCTTATCTTTTAATTTGTTTCAATGTGTTTTTTATACAATTCATAGGCAGCACCGTATCTCCCTCTGGAAGAGGTACTTGGTGTAAACCACACTAGAAATACAACAAGAAATAAACTGAATTTACTATGAACGTCGCTAGACTATAGAGATATAAAATGTACCTTAATCACATTGCCCCTTTTTGCG